CAACCAGTTAAATATGAGCCAGCAGTGTTCAGCCACCACCAATAAAGCTAACACAATCCTAAATTGCATTAACAGAGGGATACAATCAAGATCAAGTGAGGTACTAATATGACTCCACTCTATAAAGCCTTAGTAAGACCACACACACCTAGAGTACTACATCCAGTTTTGGTCACCACAGTATAACAAAGATGTTGAGACTTTGGAAAAAGTGCAGAGAAGAGCAGCCAGGATGATTAGGGGACTGGAGACTAGAACAATTATAGGAATTTGGCATGGCTCATCTAGTGAAGAGAAGGACTAGGGGAGACATGATAGCAGTGTTCTCATATTTGAGGGGCTGCCACAGAGAGGAGGGGGTCAAGTTATTTTCCAATGCACCTGAAGGCCAGACAAGGAATAATGGATGGAAACTGATCAAGGAGAGATTCAGCCTAGATATAAGGAGAAATTTTCTGACAGTGAGAACAATCAATCAATGGAATAGCTTCCCTTCAGAAGTTGTGGGAGCTTCATCACTGGAGACTTTCAAGAGGAGATTGGACTGTCATTTGTCATCTTCTGGATCTTCTGTTGACTAAATGACCTACAAGGTCCCTTCCAACTCTGTTAATATGTTAATCAGTCCTGGGAAAGAAATTTACACTCTTGCCTGAGATACCGAGTTCCCAAAACATCAGAATGACATCTGATTGGACTACTCTCACAGGGGGGAGTGTTTTGAACATTTGGGATTGCTTTCAATATGCAATTTTCATTAGGTTTTTCCTCAGAGCTTGCCTCATTCATGCTGCACTTGGCATCTCTAGTAAAAGTACCTTTTTTCTAACACTTATGGAGTCAAGGGTCATTCTTTCCTCGGGAGTAGCTGGGACCAATCTGACAACAGCTGTGTAACTAATGACTGGAATAATCCAATATGTTAATTACCTTAATGGTATTTGAACCAACAAACTTGAGCTGTAACTTGTTCTTCACTTTCATGATTATTCACTTCTAGCCTTTTTGGCTTCAGTGTGCTTGATGTTGTCCACTTGAAGGATGCCCATTTATTTATAGTGATCGTCTTCATCTGGACTCTTTATAATATTTCTATAGGCATTTTGATTCCTTCATTGTTCACCATTTTCCCCCTGTTGATGGTGAAGGTAGGACATTTGTCCAATTCAAACTCCATTGCAATATCTTTGCTTTATATATACAGGTGAAACTCAAAAAATTAGAATATCATGCAAAAATTCATTTATTTCAGTAATGCAACTTAAAAGGTGAAACTAATATATGAGATAGACTCATTACATGCAAAGCAAGATAGTTCAAGCTGTGATGTGGCATAATTGAGATGATTATGGCTTTCAGCTCATGAAAACCCCAAATCGACAATCTCAGAAAATTAGAATATTGTGAAAAGGGTCAATATTCTATGCTCAAAGTGTCCTACTCCAATCAGCTAATTACGCCATAACACCTGCAAAGGGTTCCTGAGCCTTTAAATGGTCTCTCAGTCTGGTTCAGTAGGAATCACAATCATGGGAAAGACTGCTGACCTGACAGTTGTGCAGAAAACCATCATTGACACCCTCCATAAGGAGGGAAAGCCTCAAAAGGTAATTGCAAACGAAGTCAGATGTTCCCAAAGAGCTGTATGAAAGCACATTAATAGAAAGTTATGTGGAAGGGAAAAGTGTGGAAGAAAAAGGTGCACAAGCAGCAGGGATAACCACAGCCTGGAGAGGATTGTCAGGAAAAGGCCATTCAAAAGTGTTGGGGACTTTCACAAGGAGTGGACTGAGGCTGGAGTCAGTGCATCAAGAGCCACCACACACAGACGGGTCCTGGACATGAGCTTCAAATGTCGTATTCCTCTTGTCAATCCGCTCTTGAACAACAAACAACGTCAGAAGCGTCTTACCTGGGCTAAAGAAAAACAGAACTGGTCTGTTGCTCAGTGGTCCAAAGTCCTCTTTTCTGATGAGAGCAACTTTTGCATCTCATTTGGAAACCAAGGACCCAGAGTCTGGAGGCAGAATGGAGAGGCACACACTGCAAGATTCTTGAAGTCCAGTGTGAAGTTTCCACGGTCTGTGTTGATTTGGGGAGCCATGTCATCTGCTGATGTTGATCCACTGTGCTTCATTAAGTCCAGGGTCAACGCAGCCATCTACCAGGAGATTTTGGAGTACTTCATGCTTCCTTCCTCAGATGAGCTTTATGAGGATGCTGACTTCATTTTCCAGCAGGACTTGGCACCTGCCCACACTGTCAAAAGCACCAAAACCTGGTTCAATGACCATGGGATTAACTGTGCTTGATTGGCCAGCAAACTCACCTGACCTGAACCCCATAGAGAATCTATGGGGCATTGCCAAGAGAAAGATGAGAGACATGAAACTGAACAATGCAGAAGAGCTGAAGGCCGCTATTGAAGCATCCTGGTCTTCCATAACACCTCAGCAGTGCCACAGGCTGATAGCTTCCATGCCACGCCGCATTGAGGCAGTAATTGCTGCAAAAGGGGCCCAAACCAAGTACTGAGTACATATGCATGCTTATACTTTTCAGAGGTCCGATATTGTTCTATGTACAATCCTTGTTTTATTGATTGCATGTAATATTCTAATTTTCTGAGATTGTGGATTTGGGGTTTTCATGAGCTGTAAGCCATAATCATCATAATTATGACAAATCACAGCTTGAAGTATCTTGCTTTGCAAGTAATGAGTCTATCTTATATATTAGGTTCACCTTTTAAGTTGCATTACTGAAATAAATGAACTTTTGCACGATATTCTAATTTTTCGAGTTTCACCTGTAGACAGTGCTGAGCAGCGATTCTATTTCAGATGGTGTTTTTTCATACTGCTTCAGATTGTCCTTCTAAAGGAGATGGGATAATCTGACAGATGATTTTGATGTTTATTATTGTTTACAAAAATGAGATTATCATGGTTTCCTTTCATTAATTATAACATTTCTTTTTGTGATAGTAGTTTTTATTTTCTAAATATGTTTTTTTTAATTGAAAAAAAGTATTGAGATTTTAAAAAACAGGTAGTAGTAGAACTTTTGTTCCCCTGCCTTCTTGCAGGTATTATCTGTTGTTGAGAATGACGTAGTAGTAGTAGATGAAGCTAGAGGTAATATTAGTTAGATTGTTCCTCTTCCCTCATCTTTGGAAAGTCAAACATCTTACAGATGTCAAAATATATTCTGCAGAAATAAATGATCACTTATTAATTAGTGCTGCCTTTCATATTTTGAAAACAGTTTGAAACAAATGATTTGGTCCTCACATGATTCTATGCGTAACTTCTCTCAGATATCTTTTTTCAGGTTTCTATGTGAAGCTGACAAAAAACTATAGTTGCTTTTAAATCACATTAAATATGTATTGTTCACTTAGTCATTTTTTGAAGCTTGCATAGTCCTTATACCTCTACTCTTAACTATGGTTAATGGAAATGACTGTGGCTTGGTATAAATTAGTCTATTTTTATTTTGTTTGCAAGGAAGAATAATCTTTTTATGAATGAAAATTCACATGTAATTTTTGTTTGTTCTTTCCCTGTCCAACCTTAATAGAAAAGCAAATTTGTTTCTGCTTACTTTCTACAAATCAGGATTCTGTGGAAACTACTTGATATTGTGACAAAACTAGCTAATGGTGAATATAAAGAGCCATGTTAAAAATAGAATATACTCTCAGGACAAACTGAAAATATCTAGCCTGATAACATTTAGTGTTTATTTCCTCAAGATCTCCTGGAAATTTCATTTGCTGTATGTTTAGGTCCTGATGTAGAAAATTACTGGAACTGACACTTCTTATTCTTACTGCAAATAAAATATAATTAAAAAGATCAGTATTTTGCTTACAGGCAATGATTAGGCTAAAATTACTTTTAGATATACCAGACTGAGGGATGGGCAATATATAAAAATGTGCCTCGATGTGAGTGATGTTGAGTTGGCCACGCCCAGCCAGTCACATGACCACCAAGCCATGCCCACCAACTAAGCCACACCCACAGAACCGGTTGTTTAAAAAATTGAATTCCACCCCTGGTTAAGGGCCATCTACATACAGCTGGTATAAGAGAGTTCCTATGTTTCTGTTATACATTAAATAATGCTTTTCACAAAAATGGAAAGTCTCCTGATATGTTTTCAAGTAAACAAGACTCACACCCAATATTTCTGAAACCTGTTCAGCTATGTTGATTTTCTAGAATAAAAGACAAATATAGCCATTTTAAATGTTTAAATATAGAAAAAATTTGGATGCTTGTGAGAATACATGCTTATGCATAAGCCTGCTAAAGACGTTCAGGATTTTTCATTGTTACTTTTAGGTTTTGTACATGGCACTTCTTCTCCAGCGGACATGGTAGCTTATGTTTAGTATGATTATTAAACCATGGCTGCTAGTGACCTGCTGGAGAGAGATAGAGTATTCCAATATGATTCATGAATGAGCTGTTCTTGCATCCTGATGCTTATTTTACAGTAATAGACAGAGGGGATAAAATTGTGACAAAATAATACAACTGTATTTTTTTTAAAAAAGGAACTATTATTAGTAAACTATAATTCTTTATTTCTCCCTTTTTCTTCCCTGCAGGGTTCTTCATCATGATGGACTTAACTCAAATGGATTTGCATAGTAGGCTCTAAGTATCTGGGCATCTTATCTTCTTGGATAAGTGACATCAGCATTAAACAGAAGAGCCAAGGGATGGGCTGTAGCCAGAAGAAGTCCATTGCTGTTTGTGTTCCTGGGAACAGTCTAGGTTTAATCTGCTGAGATACCTACCATATTTAAATTTGGTTTTCTCTGCTTGACCAAGAATACTTTACATTATCCTTGGTAAATTATTCTCTTTCTCATACACCTCATACATTTTTCTAATTTTCACTGTTGTTTCAGTCTTTTTCTGCAAAATTTGTTTTTCTGCCTGGGTGTGAACGTCCTCAGGACCTGCTAATGCTGATGTGAAACCATGTCAAAGCCAGTGGGACTCTTATGGCTGTCTTTAATTTTTACTCCTCTTTGTGTCATGCTGAATTCTAATTTCCTCCTTTGGATAACTGCCCTATCAATACGTTTTACACTTATTGAGGGACAAGCACAATACCCAATTGTAACTACAAATTATGGCAAAATCCGTGGTGTAAGAACACCCCTGCCCAATGAAATCCTTGGTCCTGTGGAACAGTATTTGGGAGTCCCTTATGCTTCTCCTCCAACGGGAGAGAGACGTTTCCAACCTCCAGAACCTCCTTCTTCATGGACTGGGATACGGAATGCTACACAATTTGCTGCTGTTTGCCCACAGTATCTGGATGAGAGATCACTGCTTAATGATATGCTACCGGTTTGGTTTACTGCCAACTTGGATACTGTAATGACCTATGTGCAAGATCAAAATGAAGACTGCCTTTATCTGAACATCTATGTACCAACTGAAGATGGTAAGTACACTAATCATGAACCAGCCAGTTGGCCAATTTGCACAATTTATTGAAGCATACACTGTAGGAATTCTACAGTGACCTGTGTGATGAACTATAAAAAAGTTATTGGTTCTTATTAGATTAAAACATCATAAGAATAGCCTGTATTATTTGTTCACATTTGCTACATGCATTTATGATCACAGTCCAATTTTCCTTTCAACGAGTACACTATGTCAATCTCTGGTTGTTCATAGAGGAAAAGTCAAGATATACTATACTATAAAATAATATAAACAGTTCTGTGGCTATTTAAACAAATAAATAAACAAATTTTAATATTTTAAGAATCTATAGTAATATATTATGTAAGCCTTAAAATGAACAAAAATATCTATAGCTTATTTTAATAGAAAAATTTTGAATGATCATTGACTTTTTAGAAGTGCCTGGCTTTTTATTACTTTAGAATAAATAATACATCATATGGCATAAAAATATTTTGATTTTTAAACTCTCAGAATTTTAGTAGCTCTCACTGTGTGTTTATATAGACATATAATTCTTAATTCAGACAATTGCAAATAAGCCAATCAATAACTATCACAAAATAGCCAAGAGTTATCATTAATTGTTTCAAATAAATATCTTTACCTAATGATTTTTCTATGGATTATTTCTATTACAAATATTTATGTTTTTTCTTATGATTATAATTTTAAATAATCCTTCATTGACATTCTTACCAATAGCCTTAGCTTTGATCTTTATTCCTTACCCAACGATACTGATTTACATAGCAAGTAGCTTTTTGGTTCTATTATACAGAATGATAAAAAAACGTCCTGTATTAATAAAATATTTAAAACAATAACAATAATAGATTTATCACCATCTGTGTACCCTGCATAAATTTTTTTCTTTAAGATAGCAAAGCACTTGAGGCCTCTGAATATCACTATTCCAGTTTTGTTTTATTTTGCTTTGCTTTTTTGCTTTTGATAATGTGCTTTCATTTAAGGTTCTGTTGAGTTTTGGCAGTACTGGTGGTATAATTAAGTCTTACTTCATACCTTTAAAAAAGGGAAATGAAACATTACTATTACTACTGCTGTTACTCCTACAAATAATGTAAAAAAAACCCACTTAAGCTGTGAAGTATTAGCACCATTTCCATCCCCTTTCCTATTAGCATATTACAATGCATCCATTTCCTTTTCTCAGTCTCCTCTGAAGGAGTTAGTGGTTCAGTCTTTCCAAGGTCCTTACTAAGTAATGTTTTCTTGTTGATGGGATAAAGAACGTATTGACCAAGATGGATTCAAGATGTATTATGGAAAAGTATGACAGCAAGCGAGAGGAAGACTAGCATGATTTTAATGGAGAGCTATGGTGCTACATAAATAAAGGAAGGAAGAGTTCAGTTGTGACATTATACTGTATAAAAGAGAACCAAACACTTTCAGTCAGTCTCAAATTTCCTTTTTTATTTTGTACAAGAAAACAGGCAATTTTACCAGCTTGTTCTTCAACATGAAGGGTTTCAGTAAATAGCCTTTTTCTTTTCAATTTACTGCATTTCATGCAGGAAAAATAAGCCGAAGGTTTACCTCTTTTCTCATACATATGCACAAAGCAAATGAACCGTGCATGCATTCAAGCTGTTTAAGAAGTTGAGACTAAATGTACTTACAGTTTGTTTAATTTAATATAGGGGAATCTTGTATTTTCACTATCATTTTGATACAAAGATTAAGGGTCTCACTTTATATAAATATTAATATAAATCAGGTAATTTATAGGTAATTAAAAATAATCCAGAAGAAGAAAAGATTATAGAAGGAATTTATTTATTTTGTCTCTAACTTGAAGTGGGTTGATATCAAATGAATTCATCTAATTTTTGGAAATTTATAATCTCTGCATGCATTTATGAAATGTACTGTAATTGCCAGAATTTTTGTGCTAGAGGCTACTTTCATGGCATTCTACTTTCATGAGACCTGCACTGGAGACAAAATTTTTATGTGTCTAATCACACTTGGCCAAATAAAAGTAATCAATTCAATTCAATTTTGTCTCTGATATTTATTTTATAGGAAAGAAAACATTGAGAACAATTTCACACATATTTTTGGAGAGTTATGTAAACATCACTGCACCAAAATAATAGTTCATAAGGCTATACCATTTAAGTGATGATTGGGTGATGCTATGCAGAAGCTATGTCTCTGAGGGAAATTTGCTCAAGTGGTTCAGAAGCTTGGAAAGTTTTCTAAAGTATTAGTTTAGAAATGCCCATTGAAATTTCTGCCTGAAAACTAAAAGATCTGAATTGTTTTTATTTTGCTAGATATGTATTCAAATACTAACAGGGAAGGAGATATTTGAAATTTGTTTTCTAAGATTTTTTTAAATAGTTGTTTTCTAGGAATTTACCTGATCTATCATCAATACTGGTGAGGACAGGGCATCAGTTTTTTATTCTGTTTTCCTGTCTTTATTTTTTTCATAAGGAAAACACTGGGTATTTATGCAGTTGAAGTTGTTCTTATACCAAGAAGCACACCTTCAGAAAGGGATTGTCAAAATTGGGGAAATGTCAGTTATTGATGGTGAGACAGTTAGGACAGTTGATTGAGCCAAGATGCCTTAATCTTGACAATTGTTATACATGGATTTTTTAACATAAAATATGCATTTATATAGAATAGAAAAATGAGAAAACTGCTGATGGAGAAGGGAAAAATACTCCTGGACTTGTCAATTATAAGAACAGTCAAGAATATGATGTGATAAACTCCTTTTGTCAACAATGGTGGTTGATGACATCAGCAGGATTCAACTGGACAAGATTATACTTCTTATTGATGAAAGTTACTGCAATCCATGAGCAAAGGCAAAGTTATACAAGTCTAGACATTTGAAACCAGTAATTGAGGTCCAGTATGATATTAATGAAGATCTTTTGGTCTCAGGATTTGCATCTGATGAACTTTAAATTTTTATAGTTATCATTTTAAAATCCATACTGTGTTGAAATCCATGTGGATATTGATTGCTTTTTCTGGAGATGAAGGCCTACAGCTAAAGACATTCTCATATTTTTAAGCTACATTTTGAATTGCCTCCACTTTAAGAGTTCTGGAACAGTTTTTTTTTTTTTTTACTGTCCTAGAACATTTTACAGTTTTCTCATTTTGGTGAATTGCCTGAGTTTATTTATGCTGTGATTTATATTACAATCTGACAATATGATAGCTCAGATATTTTCCTTAGCTTGGGGATAAGTTTTGTTTTACTACTTTCACCTCAGGCAACTTGAGACTTAGGGTTTTTTAGTTTTTGGTATTCTCTTATCTGGCAAGAGTCATTTGACCATTGAAGCAAACCAGGAGAGTAATTAATGATAGTTCTTACTATTCATAGTATGAGCATACTGTAATCTAAAAACTAAAATTCTGAATGGAATTAATGGATGGAGCATTAGATGGAGAGACAATTTAATGTAGTGGTTAAGGCACCAGGATAGAAACCAGGAGACTGTAAATTCTATTGAGCTTGGGCTACTCACTTTCAGTTCTAAGAAAGAGGTAATGGCAAACCACTTCTCCCCCCCAAAAAAAACTTGGCAAGGAAATTTCAGGGACTTATTCAGGCAGTCACCAGTAGCCAACATTAAAAAAAAAGGACTGAATTTATAAACATTACAAAATAACTTGGTTTGCCCATGTGGTAGACGTGAAATACCAATCTGTTCCAGTAGGCCCATTCTGGATAAATTGTTAGGGTTTAAAAGAATTCAGATGAAAGAATCCTCCACCAAAAATTGAAAATTTTAATTATAGATAGGTTTGTCTAAAATAAGTACCTAGTTCAGGTGCAATTACAGAGAAAATTCAAAAGTCCAAATTATTGTTTCTACGGAATGGCTATATGGATGTTTTTAGTGACCCTGTCTGGTATGGCTGGAAAATAGTCGATTAGATTTATAAACAAAGATCTAATAGTCAGTTAGATTTATAAAAGAAATTCAAGCAATATAAGTAGAGATAATTTCTATTTGATAAATAGATTTGATAAATCATTGGAACATTAAATGTCATGTTAAAGTTATCAGTTTGATCCTGATCGGCTCAAGGTTGACTCAGCCTTCCATCTTTCCATGGTCAGTAAAATGAAGAACCAGATTGTTGGGGTCAATATGCTGACTCTGTAAACCACTTAGAGAAGGCTGGGTTCACCAACCGGTGGGCCGGGAACCACTGGTGGTCCGTGAGAAAATTTTGGTGGTCTGCAGAGAAATGTCAGCCCCAAAGCACCCCCCAAAGCAATTAATCCAAGCTGCATGGAAACACAAGGCTGCGCCATCCACATGGCCCGTAGGAACACAAGGCTTGTGTCGCTTGCATTGCGAACAACATGAGATAGTGAGGGGAGAGGGCAAAGGGTCTCTGCTGCTTCTGCTTTTTCTGCAGAGACCCTGGGAAAATCCCAAAAAAAGGCTGCAGGAAAATCCCCCACCCGATTTTCTTATTGATCGATCGTTCTTTATTTGGGATCACAGGATACCCTCTCTCTCTCTGCCTCCCCCCCCCAAGAATGGAGCTGAAAAGCAAGTTAGGAATGTGCTACCTTGGAGGGTGTGTGTGTGTGTGAGAGAGAGAGGCAGAGAGGGACCTGTGTTTGTGTGTGTGTGTCAGAGAGAGAGAGAGAGAACATCACTGCCAGCCCTCTGAGGTTAGATTGGTGCTCTCTCTCTCTCTCCCTCTCCCCCCCCCCACGAACGTCAGTAAGCCACTGTCACTCAAAATTCATATTAGTAGTCCGCGGGATTTAAAAGTATGAGTTTGGTAGTCCTTGAGGTCCAAAAGGTTGGCGACCCCTGCTGTAAAGCACTGTGAAGTGGTATATAAATCTAAGTGCTATTGCTTTAAGCACAAACAAGCTACTCAGGCACAGTTTGTGTATGAAAATGTAACCATGCTTTAAAGAGACTAATTTCAACACCGTGTCAC